CTCACTGTTGTACCTTCCACAATCCTCTCCTGCATTTACTTTCCATTGTCCTACCCTCCGCAATTCTCTTCTACGCATAATTCTCACGGTCATACCCTGCCACTATCCTCTCCTGTATATACTACCTACAGTCATACTCACCACAATCCTCTCCTGCACATACTGTCTATTATCATGCCCGCCACAATCCTCTCCTGCACATACTGCTCATGGTCATACCTTCTACAATCCTCTCCTGCACATACTGCTCATGGTCATCCTTCCACAATCCTCTCCTGCACATACTTGACTACTGTCGTATCGTCCACAATCTTCTCCTGCACATATTGACAATACTGTCATACCTGCCACAATCCCTACTGTACATACTACCTACTGTCATACCTGCCACAATCCTCTACTGTACATACTACCTACTGTCATACCCGCCACAATCCTCTCCTGCACATACTACCTACTGTCATACCCGCCACATTCCTCTCCTGCACATACTGCCCATTGTCATACCCGCCACTATCCTCTCCTGTAAAATACTGCCTACTGTCATATCCTCCACAATCCTCTCCTGCACATACTGCCAATAGTCATACCTGCCACAATCCTCTCCTGTACGTACTACCTACTGTCATACTCACCACAATCCTCTCCTACACCCTACACATACTGCCCATTGTCCTACCCTCCACAATTCTCTTCTACGCATAATTCTCACGGTCATACCCTGCCACTATCCTCTCCTGTATATACTACCTACAGTCATACTCACCACAATCCTCTCCTGCACATACTGTCTCTTATCATGCCTGCCACAATCTTCTCCTGCACATACTGCTCATGGTCATACCTTCTACAATCCTCTCCTGCACATACTGACATAAGTCATACCTGCCACAATCCTCTCCTGTACATACTACCTACTATCCTACCCGCCACAATCCTCTCCTACACTATACTATCTACTGTCATAACGTCCACACAATCCTCTCGTCCACAAATCCTCATACTACTGCCAATAGTCATACCTGCCACAATCCTCTCCTGTACATACTACCTACCAGGGGCGGACTGACAACTCATGGGGCCCCCAGGCAATAGGGGATCATGGGGCCCCTGTGTCCTTGCCCAAACTCAAAAAAGCCTATGAAAAAGGTATCAGGGAAATCTCATGGGGCCCCCTACTGACCGTGGGCCCTCGGGCAGTGCCTGAGTTTCCAAATGGTCAGTCCGCCCCTGCTACCTACTGTCATACCTGCCACAATCCTCTCCTGTACATACTACCTACTGTCATACCCGCCACTATCCTTTCCTGTGTAATACTGCCTACTGTCATACCCGCCACAATCGTCTGCTGCACATATACTGCTCACAGTCATACCCTCCTGTACATACTGTCTTCTCTCATAGCCTTCACAATCCTCTCCTGCACATACTGCCCATTGTCATACCCGCCACAATCCTCTCCTGCACATATGCCCATTGTCATACACAATCTTCTCCTGCACATACTGCCCATTGTCATACCCGCCACAAGCTTCTCCTGCACAGCACACGGTCATACCCTCCTGTATACATGCTGCCTTCTGTCATACCCGCCACAATCTTCTCCTACACATATACTGCTCACAGTCATACCCTCCTGTAGTTGTTGCCTTCTCTCTTACCCTCCACAATCTTCTCCTACACATATACTGCTCACGGTCATACCCTCCTGTAGTTGTTGCCTTCTCTCATACCCTCCACAATCCTCTCCTGCACATACTGCCCATGGTCATACCTGTCACAATTGTCTCCTACAGTCATATCCTCCATAGTCCTCTCCTGCAGATATTCATCACATTATTTCTAGTTCTATGTATAAAGAACATTGTTTCTAATATCCCTATTCTTGCCCATTATGGAATGTATAAACCTTTGCTTGTATAGAAGATGAATATCTAAAAGATCATGAGTTTGACACGGCTGTTCCATAGCATCAATAATTTTGCAGCCACTCTTAGTTTATGTACTTCTTTTTGGATCATTGCCTTGCGTTATCTGAGCCATTGATCAAGTTGTATTACCTCCTAAGGTTTGGCGTGTTGTCTGAGATTTTGCATCATTCACTTCACTTATGCACCTCTGCTCTATACGGTGCCTTATTTTTGTTGTGTTGTTCTATTGATCATCAAACGGAGGCTGTTAATAGACCAGTTTTTACTTCCCTAGCTACTGTATGGATTAACTATATCGCCGCCACAGGGCAACCCTGTGGTGTGTCCCGCCCAGTTTTAACTCTAGTAATACATCAGCTGATATTATCCATAGATTTTGTGACATAGGTTACTACTACAAGGCAGTCCAGCAATTAATCATTAGAGGGGCCACAATGAAGGTTGATGTTTATAGGCAATCTTTATGGGAAGGAATGATGGATGGTGTGTATGGTGTGAAAAATGAGCATATCTACTATTGTCTTTTCAAGGGTCAGTCTACCCGAAAGTTAGTTGGATACATACTGTTTATGTAAACCAGGCATGTCCAAAGTCCGGCCCGCGGGCCATTTACGGCCCGGGGGTCGGTTTAATACGCCCTCCAACAGCCCTCCCCTGCTCTGTGTAATGTGGCCCTCCCACGGCCCTCCCTTCTATGGCAGACAGTCTTCTGCTTGAGAGCAGTGCGCATGCGTGACTGCGCCGCGCTGGGAGCGACAGAGGGTGGTGACATCAGGGCTGGGCTTCCAGCGTGAAGTGTGTTTCTCTTCCCCTCCCGGCTGCCGAGCAGAGGCTTCAGCTCCAGCTACCTTTTTTCACCCTTCACATTAGCAGGTAAGTTTTTTTTAAATTTATTTTCAATACGTTGTGAAAACTCAGCTGTCAGTTGATCTTAATGTTATGAAATGAAAAGTATGTTGTTTGCAATTAACTTGGCATAAAATAATTGTTTTTGCATTTAATTGTAATGGTTCAAAGAATGTTCGGAAAAATGTTCGGCCCACCACCATGTTCACTTCATCCAATCTGGCCCTCTTTGAAAAAAGTTTGGACACCCCTGATGTAAACCTAATATACATAAGTGAAAAGGACCATGATGAAACATGTTAAGGTCACATCCTGTTTTTAACCTGATGTAAACAAAGAACATTGACCATGTTCCAGAGGCTTCCTTCTGAGCACAGGAGCCTGTAGGAACTTGGTAAAAGAGAAAGCAGGGAAAGGTGATATAGAAAAGGCAATAACTAAAGAAGGGAAAGAAAGGAGAAAATGAAAAGCAGATAAAGGGAGAGAGCTTTTTTTGGGGATTGGGTGGCCAATTAGAAGCCCAGCTGGAGAGTTCTGTTAAATAGCTGATTGATTTGGGACAGGTTCTCCATTGTTTCTGCATCAAAATTAAAGTGTAGCTAAACCTACATCATAAAAAAAAAAAAACCTATCAATAAATGCTGTGTTACATGATGTTCGTACTCAGTCACTATGAGATTCATATTCTGTATTCTGCAAAAAACCTGGTTGATCCTGCTGCACTCTCTCTATCCACCTGCTTGTTCATGTCCCCAAATCAGTTAGGGATTTTGCAGCTATAGAGGCAACTCTGCACATGCTTAATTTCCAGTGAGTTTCTATGCCAAGCATTTCCTCCCTATCTCTTTTGAGCAGCCCATGTGACTATAGAGTCACACATGTGGACATGGAGTGGTAAATGACAGCCCACTCCCTCTCTCCTCCTCCATACCCACTAACCAGCTAAACACAATGGGTGTTGGGATTCTACATGTAGATTAATGGAAGAATTATCTCCGTTATTCTAAGAAACGGGCTGGAGGGGCGTGAGCCTATGACTGGCAGAAATCCACCCACATCACATAAAGATTTGATTTCAAATATATATTTGTATGATGATTTAAAACAGTTTATTGATTTTATTATTTTTTTACTCTGTATTCCAAAGGCTGTTTTTTTTTTTTCTTTTGTTTTTTTTTTTTTTTTTTTTGAACATGTGACTGGCAGCAGAGGACTTGACGCTCCTCCTGCTTATGTTTCCCTGCTGACAGGCTGGGAAAGAGTTGGGTCATGTGACAGCTGTATGTCAATTAGGAAAAAGGTACTTAGATGGGTTTTTTATTAAAATAATTACAGTGCCATCATCCACATACGAAGGAATTGTTGAAATTAAACGGTGTGTGTTTAGTATTACTTTAAAGAAAGGGGTTGATGTTCAGTAGTAGGCCATCAGCTTCAAACATAAATGTTTATAAACTGTTGCATACCTTTACAGACTACATAGTTGATGTTTTTGGAACTGCAAGAAGAAAGTGGATAAATACTAAAACATTGTGTCTATTAGAAATAAGGGATACCCCTAATATGGGCAGGTTGCAACCCTTGTATGGATTAGAGTACCTCAAAATTATCTGCCTGGGGTCCTAGAACAGATAGCTATGGCAGATTTCCAATGCTTGCTATTGCAGAAATAAGAGAGACCAACCCTGTGGCCCCATAGGGCAGCACGCAGTCCCCAAAGCTTTCATAGTGGTGGACAGCCCTAGAATGGGACAGCAATCCCTTATATTGTTCCTCAAGAGAACCTATCAGGGAAGCTGTTACCTGGCATAGCTGAGGCTCCCACGGGGTGCTGGAGGTGTGCATTGCTCCATATTAAGGAGTCATAGAGGAATGTACTAATGCTGCACAAGAGTGCTTGGTCCTAGTACTTCTTTCAAGGTTCATGGCTATAATAGTCTGTAGCACTGCCTTGTATTCAGCTGTGACTAATACCTTCTGTAAGCCCACCTTTCAGGCAGCTAGACATTGGCTTGGGAACCAGTTGGTTGACGTCAGGTCCAGCCTCGTACTGATTAGGAAATCAATGTTCTGGAAACTGTTGGCTTCGTCTTGTCGTTTTTTTTTTTTGTTTTTTTTTTTTAAACGCCCAAAAACTGATTTAGTAATCAACTACACATATCACTACATAATTTATCTGAAAGTGGACATACTGTTGTTTAATTAAAGTTGTGTGTCCCTTAGAGATGCTCTTCGGGCCGTGTCGCAGAAAAAGGACGTTGGGGAGAAAGTTGCACAGCCAGTTCAGGCCACACAAGCAGAAAAGATGGCACCAGTAACTACATCACAGCCGTTAGTATCTTCACCGCCAGCTTTTCCACGTCCACCTGACCCACCAATGTCTTATCCTGGGATGCCGTCTGCAGCGGTAAGAGTGTCCGTTTGACGTTTATACGCAGCCAGAGAATTTCCTTGTTCTTGTGTGTTCTCCTTTTGTATGGTTTTAGAAATATTTTCTAACAAAGAGCCACTTACTTAATTCACTGCCCTGGGGGAGTTTACAATCTTATGCTTTAAGCACTGCTGTAAAAGTGCAGATTCTAGCACAAATTTATCTGAAGAGGACATTTGCCATGATACAGCAGTGCTAACTACTGGTCCCTCCTCTTTGGGGGTGCCCCTATGGAAAAGAAAAAAAAAAAAGCTTCTGTTGCTTTAAAGTGGTTCTAAGGGCTGCATGTTTTTTAACCTTCTGTGTGCACCCCCCCCCCTCAACTCTTACTTGAGCCCCATCCCGATCCAGCAACGTCCATGAGAACCTCGTTTCTCCAGGGACTCTTACTCCTGGTTGGCTGAGGCAGCAGTGGGAGCCAATGGCTGTCAGTCACAGCCAGTGAGCCAATTGGGAGAGGAAGGGGTGGGGCCACACCTTGGCTCTGTGTGTGAATGGGCATAAAGAGTCATGACTCGGTACCCCTATAGCAAGCTGCTTGCTGTGGGGCCTCCCAATAGGAGGGATGAGCCAGGAGCACCAGTAGAGGACCCAAGAAGCCAAGGATCTGGGCTGCTCTGTGCAAAACCTCTGCACAATGCAGGTAAGTATGACATGTTTGTTATTAAAAAAAAAAATAAAAAAATACTAATAAAAAAAATAATAGTATCACTTTAAAGCATGATAAATACCACAATTGCTTTTGTACTGTATTTGGTCCCATTCTATGTTGTAAAATACCTGGTTAATCCTGCCTGTTCCTTTGTCCCCTCTAGGTGTACTGACCATGGTTATCATGGCTGCTGATCCATGATACGTGTCTCCATCACCCCCTGTGTGCTTAGTTTCTCACTCTCCCTCCCTGCCTGTCATTTCTGTGTGTGAGTCGATCTCCTCTCCTCCTGCCGCTGTTCCCTGCTGCTGTAAAGTAACATTTACAAATAATTGGCATCCCCTCTGTTGTATGAAGATATAAAATACTGTGTGCTAGTTTTTTTTTAAATTATAACCCTAAATACCTCTTTGCACAGCACCACTGTGCGTTCACATGATCTCCCTTTGCTGGCTGGCTGACATTAAAGGGGAATCTCAGCCCCTCCCACTGCTCTCCTTAGATCAGGGAAGGAGGGCGGAGGGAGGTCACATGACTGCACAGTGGCGTTATGCAAAAAGGTATTTTGGATTATATTTTTTATAAAAAACCTTGACACACAGTACTTTATATCTTCATACAACAGAGGGTATGCCAGTTATCTGTAAGTCTTACTTTACAATCACTTTAAGTGTGCAAAAAATTGTTTCCAAATATAGTCCAATTAAAATCCGCAGTGCTTAATCCTTGTGTGTGCATCCATGCAACTCTGACTGCCAGTGAGTCCATTGGTCTTCACAGTGATTGTGGCTCTACCACCTCTGTGCCCTTTTTGGGTGGAAGCTCACATATTTTGTTGGACCTCATTTTTCAAGTAAGGTCAATCACAGCTCAGTTTGTCGTTCCTCCCATTGAATTCTATGAAGTGTGGTACATTCTTGCTCCCTTGTTGTTCACACCATCCAGCTTATATAATCAGCAGCCCAGTTAGAACTTGGGAGGAACAACAAATTGAGTTGTGACTGACCTTAGTTGAAAAAGGAGGTCCATCAAAATAGCAGAGACTGGCCGTATTTCAATCCATGTATATGACCGTTCCCGATCTAGACAAGTTAGTCTAATTATCGACGTCTCTTATATTGGGAATGCTGGAAAAATTTCATTTGATCAGCACCTTCGGCCAATTGGCTGCAGTGCTAATCAGTGCAGGGGCGGACTGACCACTCATGGGGCTCCCGGGCAATAGGGGATCATGGGGCCCCTGTGTCCTTGCCCAAACTCAAAAAAGCCTATGAAAAAGGTACCAGGGGCATCTCATGGGGCCCCCTACTGACCCCGGGCCCTCGGGCAGTGCCCGAGTTTCCAAATGGTCAGTCTGCCCCTGAATCAGTGTATTCTAACAGCGGAGGAGTGCCCATCGTCCCTGCCGTCAGAATATTAAAGCACAGCGACTAGGATTCCTCTAAATGCCTTTTTGTGTAGATGGGGGAATCCGTTTTTTTTTTTTTTTATGATCATCCTTCTGGCTAAATAAAATAATCTATCTATTGCCAGCTTTAGTCTACCCTATATACTAGCTCAAGTGGATATATGTGAAAGAAAAGGGGGTGGGGGGTCTTTAAAATCACAGTTTATATCTATACACAAGCCTGTGATGTCACTAGACACAGTACTTTGGAGAGTCCATGACAGATATTAGTAAAGGGAAAAAAAAAATATCTGAAGAAAGGCCACAGCTCAATCATACATTACAAAGACATGCTCTGGCCAGTGACTTGAAAGATTCACCTGTGAGCTGTCTTTACTTTGGACCAGGTATTTTATATCCCATTATATCTCAGTGAGAAAACCTTGCAGAGTTGCGTTGGGTGTGGCCAGTTATGATTTTCCACAGTCTCTTATTTTACAATGCCAGAGTTTACAGCCTGTATGTATCACTTTGCTTGAGGTGTCTGCTGACTACAGCATATGACGTTGGTGACGTAATTATGAATGCATTATCTTTAATGCCCCCTAATCTCACCCCTTTAGGCAACATTTTCTGAAATACCAACCAGCAACATCCGAAAGGTTATCGCCAAAAGGTTAACGGAATCTAAAACCACCATCCCTCATGCCTATGCCAGCACAGACTGCGACCTTGGAGCGGTTCTCAAGCTGAGGAAGGAACTGGCTAAAGGTCAGTAAGCAGGTTCATAAGGAATCACACCGGAGGGCGGGGGTCTGGCACAGGAGCCAGTTATTCCCAAGTAAACTAATTTGTGTGTGTAAACTATATGCTCCAAGTGCAGCCATAAGGGTGATCTCTTCTATAAAAACTGAAATAAAAAGAGGGTGTAGCCCATAGCAGCAAATCGGATTCCATTTAGTTTTCCCATTGCCAACTATGAGGTATGACCTGATTGACTGGCTGTAAGCTGTATTCTTTTTACCTTGACCTGTTTATAGAACTCTACAAAATCATGTCAAATCTAAAAAAAAAAATTTCACATTTTATATGAATGTGATTTAGCTTAAAGTGTTATTAAACCCACAACAGTAAAATCAGCTGTATATGCAGTAAAGCATGCTTGTTATACTTACTGTGGAACCTAAGGGGTTAATCATATTGTGTAAAAAGGTTGTTTGATCCTTTCTTCTCTGATCCTCCCCTTCTTCCAGGTCTCCAATCCATCGGCTCATAATACAGAGCTCTAGGAGTCGCACTGCACATGCTCAATTTGGTGTGTAAAGCTAGAGAGCTTTTTACTTTGGGGAGGGTGCATGTGATCAGCACAGGGCCTATCAGCGCTGTCCAGACAGAGGGTCAGGGGTTATGTAGGCTCATAGGACAGTCAGAGCAGAATGAAAACTCTTCCTACAAGATTAACGAGTGCTCTGTAGAACATTTAATAGAAGTCACAAGACTGCTATATACTGTTGATGAGAAAAGGTATTTAGAAGTTTATATTTCCTAAAATAATTGCATTTCCATGTTCTGTGTACTGTGGGAGGCCAGATATGGTGAATGGGGGTCCTGCGTTTAGTAACTCTTTAATGCAGAAAATTGTATAACTGAGTATTAATGTTTCAAATCCCGTGTTATGTGTGTTTACACAGAAGGTCTGCAGACCCCGGAATTTTTGTGAAGAGACTTTGCCAGTAGAGCCTCTGAGAGATGCACTATACAGCCAGCTCTCAAAATTGATTTCAGATGTTTTCATTGAAGGGTGCTAGTAATGCTACAGAATGCAACGTCATTGTAAAGAATTTAGCATTTCTAACTGTATGGTTTAGGATAGGCCTTCTTCTGTTCCAGTATGGCTGTGCACAAAGCCAGCTCCATGAAGATATGGTTTGATAAGGTTGGTTCGGAGAAAGCTGAGTGCCCTACACAGAGGCCTGACCTCAACCCTACTGATTACATTTAGGATGAACTTGACTGCCAATTGCAAGCCAGGTCTTTTTATCCAACATCAGTACCTGACCTCACAAATATTCTTTTGGCTGATTGGGCACAAAGTCCCACAGACACATTCTAAAATCTTGCTGAAATTCTTCCTAGAATAGTGGGGCTGTTAAAGGATAAGTTCACCTTTTTGGACAAAAATAATAAATGCACATTTTTTTTTGCAGGTAACAAAATGTGCATTTATTTTTGTCCAAAGGAGCCTAGAAAGCATTACCATGCAGGTCTCCTGCACACCTGTCAGAATATCTGCTTGCCGTACGGGATGTACGGTCAAGCAGATATACTGACAGGAAGCTTCAAGGACCTACCATGGCGTTCCACAGCACCATGGTAGTTCATTGAAAACTACAAGCCGCCAGCCGCTAAGGCTGTCAGGACTTGTAGGCTTTCATTCATGGAATTCTGTGAAGTTTCCCCGTACTATCTGTCAGAGGGAAGGGGGGCGGTGGGTGTGGCTGCAGCTACGAAAACATGTTACATGTTCCACATAAAAACGTGTGGAGCATGTAACATGTGCCAAAGGTGAACTTATCCTTTAAGCTTTAATGGCAGACAACTTTATATTAATGCCATGGTTTTTGAATGAGATGTCTGACAAGTCCAGACAGATGTGGTGGTGGCCAGTTGTCTACAAATTTTGGCCACATAGTGTACTGCATATAACAGGCTGAATGAAAATTTTGAATCTTTTGTTTTTCACATCATTAGTGTTCCAGCTGTTACATGCTATTTTTGTGCTGCAAGCGAAAGTGCCTTCTATAACATTATGGATTTTTATTTGAAAAACAAAACCATTGATGGCACAATTGTATGAACTATTTTCGTTTTTCACTTGACAGAACTTTCGGATTTCCATCCCTATACCTAATGGCAGAGGTCTGTGTGTCCCTCCATGTATAAGCCTCCCCAGACCATCACTGACCCATCACCAAAACGGTCATGCTGAATGATGTTACAGGCAGCATAACGTTCTCCACGGCTTCTCCAGACCCTTTCCCGTCTGTCACATGTGCTCAGGGTGAACCTGCTCTCATCTGTGAAAGGGACAGGGCACCAGTGGCGCACCTACCAATTCAGTGGCAAATGCCAATCGAGCTCTATGGTGCCGGGCAGTGAGCACAGGACCCACTAGAGGATGTCGGGCCCTCAGGCCACCCTCATGAAGTCTGTTCCTGATTGTTTGGTCAGAGACATTCACACCAGTGGCCTGCTGGAAGTCATTTTGTAGGGCTCTGGCAGTGCTCATCCTGTTCCTCCTTGCAAAGGAGCAGATACTGGTCCTGCTGATGAGTTAAGGACCTTCTACAGCCCTGTCCAGCTCTCCTAGAGTAACTGCCTGTCTCCTGGAATCTCCTCCATGCTCTTGAGATTGTGCTGGGGGACACAGCAAACCATTTGGCAATGGCACGTATTGATGTGCCATCCTGGAGGAGTTGGACTGCCTGTGCAACCTCTGTAGGGTCCAGGTATCTCCTCATGCTACCAGTAGTGATGACACTGATCCTAGCCAAATGCAAAACTAGTGAAACACAGTCAAAAAATGAGTAGGGAAAAAAATGTCAGTGGCCTCCACCTGTTTTGGGGGTTGTGTCATTGTTGCCCATCTAGTGCACCTGTTGTTAATTTCATTAACACCGAAGCAGCTGAAACTGATTAACAACCCCCTCTGCTACTTAACTGACTAGATCAATATCCCAGGAGTTTCATTGACTTGATGCTAGACTCTGATTACAAAGTGTTCCTTTAATTTTTGAGCAGTGTTCATAAATAATAAGTAATGCATAAGCTGTGTATATCTTCTCTAATTCCCATATAGTATATCACTGCATTCCACTATTTGTGATACTTCACAACAACATATATGGTGATACCCACCACCATTCACCACTGTGCTCACCTCCGAGATTGGACACGTATAATTACAGGTCTCAAATGCCTTTCCCCTTATTTAGGACTCCTTCCAATAACTCTTCCGTTAATGCAAACTCAGATGTTTACTCATAAGATGTTCAAACGCAAGATTCATATGTTCCATATGTGGTGGTCTTCACCTTTTTAAATCACGATCCCTTTTACTTTTGTATTATCCTCTCATAAAGCAAAGAAGTTATTCATAGTGTAATATGTTCGCATAAAGATATTTATTGTTAAAATGCACTTACAAGTGAAGTAAAAACACAAGCCCTCATAAAGACAGCGGGGTCGCGGCTCCCGCATCACTTCGGGTTTTGTTACCAGTGACTCCCGGCACCCCCTAGATGTGTGTCGTCACGTCATGTGACTTCTTTCTCTTTATTCCCGGAAGCTGATGTAAGACAAGTATGTGTATATAACAATGGGCATTAAAGTATACATAGAGCCTCTCCTTGCAAAACAAACTGTTCAGTTTAAAATTGAAATGAAAAGTAAAACATTTGTGTATACATTTAAAAAAACATTAGAAATACCCTTCTTTCCCGTTTTATGTAAGTGATCATGTTCCCTCTATGCTCCTTATTCAGCTAAGGACAGAGAGGTGGGGGAGGAGAAACAGCATGACACTGAACTTTTAAGTGAATGAGCTGTGCAGGGGGAGGAGGGAGGTGTCAGTTCAAGTCTTATTGTTGGAGGAGAGCAGACTGAGTTCCCAGCACAGCTAGAGAACTGACCACTGTGCTCTCATGCCAGGCATGGACACCAGGGATTTCACATAAAGAGAACAGGATACTTTTCCATACAAATAGATGGTATAACAGGCAAATATCAGGAATATGAATCATTGGGTTTACATACTCTTTAAAGTTATCGTGTTGCTTTTCTCTGTGTCATGTCTACTGAGATGCGGACACTGCTGGGGGTGGTAAATGTCTGTGTTCCCTCAAAGTTCTTCTTGCTGATCCATACGTCACAACAGGACTGTAAGGTTTGCTGGTTGAACCATTGAGAGCCATGGGGGAAGAAGAGATCAGCGCTCCCGGAAGTGTCGTTTTCCAGCAGACTTCCAGCGAGGAGTTCTCTTTAACAGAGCAGTGCATGACAGCAGGGGCAGTAGGAGAGGGGAGTATGTATATTCTGCTTTTGAAGAGAGAGCTTTTTGCAGACCTTTATTCTCATGACAAGGTCACTATGAAAGGAACCATGGATAATGTCTAAGACATAAACAGCTATTTCTGAATTCATATAATACAGTTATAAAACAATGTAGCATGGGTTAAAAACTAATACAGCTTTGCTCAAAAACATTTTTAGATTATTCAGTAAAAAGCCATCAGATTACGAAAAATAGGTTAGTCTTTTTTTTTTTTTTCCTCTGCGTGGTTTCTATAATCCTGTGTGTTCTGCTCAGTATTGGCCTCGTGGTTAATGGAAGGGGTTTAAATGCTGACAAATCATCCATCTTCTCAGACGAGGGAGAGTTTATTTGGTTGCTGTGAATTGTTTTAAACCAAAGTTTTGGATCTACGTACTTTGGCACAAGGTAGTGTAATTAGGAGGGAACAGAAAGTATCCCATACCATAACTTCATAGAAATATATTTGCTGTTGGCAGTACCAAGGCATGCTATTATGTTCTGTCTAGAGTATGCATCTGTTTCTCTTGAATTTCAGTTTGCTGTAGTAAGGAATAAAATACAGCAGACTGTTCTACTTTGGTCTCAAATGGCTAAGAAGCAGTTTCCAGTTTTCTCACATTAAAACTTGAAATTGTCTTATATTCTTAAGGACCTTTTCACACTATGGTGCAGCTGA